AATTAGTTTTTTGTTTCAGCATATTGCTTCAAAACATAAATTCAAAAAATTGTTCAAAACAGTTTTTTGATAAAGTCATTTTGTACGACGTAATCAGCTAACAGTTAATTTACCAAATATTTTTTTTACAATTAGCTAATATTATCAACTAGTCAAATTCACTAACCAATCAACTAACAATTATTTACCAAATACACTCATAAACTTTTCCGTATGGTATAAAAAAATTATTTAACATTGAAGGTAATCCAAAATTTAGCTTTACTCATGAGAAAGTATTGCCAAAATGCACCCCATGAGCTTACAATTCATCCCTTAGCTTGAGACTTTGAAATATGTCGTTTGTAGGGGTATAAGTTAGAAAAGTACGTCATATAATTTAGAACTAAATTTTGATGAAAATATACTCTTCAACTTCATGAAGAACATATCCTCTTTCCTGCATTCCAGTATTAGTATGTCCACTGCGCTATAGATGGTCTTTGAACTGTAATCTGTCTCTTTAGTACCAGATAATCAGCATATATTTCTTTAAAACGATCATACCTTTGCCGAATTAATTCTAAGCTCACATACAGGCCCACACGCACAAGAAATCCAATTTATACCTTTCATCATCTTTGGACTTTTTTCTCATACATATTTTTAACGATTTCCCTCACTCTGCCGCCTCCAGTCATGGCCTATAAGTCAGACGACGAAGCTAAGCCCCCGGCCCCGAGGCATTCCTATTATTATTTGCATTATGTCAAGATAATATTTCATCACTTATTATTATAAGTTTATTTACTTAGAATATGAGAGTGGGGAGATTGTTGAAGGGGGAATTTTTGGACACTTGAACGCCCCAGCCCCCAGGCATGGAGCATGGATGCACTTGTCAAATGAACCGTTCTATTTTGCCCTTTGTTATGCGTTTATTAATCCTCCTTGATTAACTATACATCTTATCTTTCATTTTTAAATTTTTATTTGATAGCCCTCTTTCATTTTATATCATCTCGAATAATATTATCTACAGAGTATAATTTAAGTATAAGACATTGTTATCTCTCACAAAAATGGATTTTTTAAAAAGTGAAAAATAATAATTTTTAACTCTGAAAAGGAACAAAATAAGAAAAATTATTTATTAATTTCATACTTAATATTTTATAAGCCTTTATAACTTTTGATGTATTTTAAATGATTTAAAATAAATAAATAAATCAAGTGCTAAAAGTCTTATTCAAATTTGACATAAGGATAATTTAGGCTTTTGAATTTTTTTAAAAGATAATTTAAAGATAATACGTTTTTACTTAGTAAAAGTAGCTATTATTTAGATAACGTTAGTTATCTACATACTTCAATTCCTTCTTATAAATAGGGGAATACTAAAACAACAAATTCATTCCAATCTTTTCTTATTCTTATTCTTCTTTGGTAAAATGGCATCTTTACTCACTAGTTTCATGGCACTTGCTCTCACTATATTTTCTTACAATTTACCTTTTTATGATGCTTTACAAGTTACCTATGATAATCGCGCCTTAAAAATTAATGGTCAGAGAAAACTCATCATTTCTGGTTCCATTCACTATCCTCGTAGCACAGCTCAAGTATTTCTCAATTTTGTTATATACTCTATTAAAATAATTTTTTTAAATATTTTTTTGTATTGTTAATATCTTAAATTTGTTTATTTATATAGATGTGGCCCTCTTTGATAAAAAAGGGAAAAGATGGTGGCCTCAACACTATAGAAACTTATGTTTTTTGGAATGCTCATGAACCTAATTACCGAGAGGTTGGAATTGGAATCTTTTCATATTTTTTTTATTAATTAATTTGGAAATATGTGTTTACATATAATTTATTTTTAATTTTTGCTTAATATTACAGTATGATTTTTCGGGAAATAAAGATTTGATACAGTTTCTCAAGGCAGTGCAAAATGAAGGGCTTTATACTATGTTAAGAATAGGTCCATACGTTTGTGCAGAATGGAATTTTGGGTAAACGTTAATCTTGATATTTACTTCATAAACATTATAAATCTTTAGGAGGTTTTAAAGTCTTGTAATGTTTTACCTTATTATTATTATTATTAAATTTCAGAGGATTTCCTGTGTGGTTATACAACATGCCAAACACAACTTTCAGAACCAACAATGCAGTATTTATGGTATTATTATTATTATTATTATTATTATTATTATTATTATTATTATTATTATTGCATTTCAAATTTTTAAAAATTGATTTTTTTGCTCAGAGGGAGATGGGAATCTTCACAAAGAAAATTGTAGACATGGTAAAAGGAGAGAAACTTTTTGCTAGTCAAGGAGGAAATATTATCCTTGCCCAGGTAATGTTGCCATTTTCTGATTATTTTTTTTTTTGAATTTTTAATCTTTTTTAAAAATTTTCACCTCAAACTTAAATATTTATTATTATATTTTTTTTTTAAAAAAATAGATTGAAAATGAGTATGGGAATATTATATCGCACTACGGAGAAGAAGGAAAGAAGTATATAAATTGGTGTGCGGATTTTGCTCTTTCTTTGAATATTGGAGTGCCTTGGATCATGTGTCAAGAGGATGATGCTCCCAAAACTATGGTAAATTTTTATTTTTTTTTTTATTTTTTTTTGGTAATATAATTATATATATTTAGTTTAATTCCTTGGTCAAAAATGCAGATTAATACTTGCAATGGATTTTATTGTGATCAATTTTGGCCTAAGAACAATAACCCTAAATTTTGGACTGAAAATTGGAGTGGCTGGTTAGTATGCTTTAATTTTATTTTGTTTATTTATGTAATTAATTGAAAATTTAATTACATTTATAATTTTGATTCATTAATATGTAAGGTTTAAGAACTGGGGAGATAGAGACCCACACAGACCTGCAGAAGATCTTGCATTTGCTGTTGCTCGTTTTTTTCAATATGGCGGATCTCTACAAAACTACTATATGGTATGGTATAATATGTATTGTTAGGCATAAAAATTTGTCTTATTCTTACTTTTCCACTTCCCAAGATTAACCAACTTTTTCATATTTAGTACCATGGTGGAACAAATTTTGGAAGAACATCGGGTGGACCATACATTGCTACAACATATGACTACAATGCTCCCCTGGATGAATATGGTAAAGTTTTAATTAGCAAACTTTAATCTGATCTTATTCTGATCTATTGATACTAATGCAATTGTGGAAATGATTTAGGCAATGTGAACCAACCAAAGTGGGGGCATCTCAAGGAACTCCATAACCTTTTATATTCATTAGAGGATGTACTTTTGTATGGCAATGCAACCAACACAGATTATGGAAGGATGATGTCTGTAAGTGCTATAATTCCTTATAATTGATAATTCTTCCAATTTTTTTTTTCAATTTTTAATGAATCTAATGACTTCATTCTATATTATATTTTTCAGTCGACAGTGTATGAGTACAAGGATAAAAGGGTATGTTTCTTAGGAAATGCAAACGACAAAGATGACATATCCATCACCTTTGAAGGCAAAAATTATACTACTACTGCATGGTCTGTCACAATTCTCCCCGATTGCAAAACAGAAGTTTATAATACAGCTCGGGTGAGTAGCTTATTATAAAGACATCAATTAATCTACTACAATATTCATGAATGTAACTAATAATTTTAATATATTTTATTGACATTTTTTTGTTGTAGGTTAATGCTCAAACAACTGTGATGGTGAAGAAGTTGAGTGAAGGGGCATTGAAATGGTCATATAGACCTGAAACTATAATGCATCTCAAGTATGGACACAAGGATCAAAGCTCAGTATTGATAGATGCTCTTGATGCCAAACAACTGTTCGATCAAAAAGTTGTAACAAATGATACTACCGATTATTTGTGGTACATGACAAGGTAATGTATATTAGGCAAATAATCATAGTAATTTGGTATAGGATTGATCACTAATGGATTATTATTTGTTTTAATTTGTTCAGTTTCAAGATAAATGAAAGTAATCCAATTTTGGGTCAAGAGCTTACTCTTGAAGTTAATACAAAAAGCCATGTTCTCCATGTCTTTTTTAACAACAAGCACATAGGTTCTGAGTGGGCTCAAGATGATGGAAAGTTTAAATTTTCATTTGAGAGGAATGTGAAACTCCGAAAAGATATCAATACGATTTCTTTACTTAGTGAGACCGTCGGACTACCCGTAAGAGTTTAATATTTTCATTCCAACCATCAATTTTTTATTTTTTTATTTTTTTTCCCTAATATAATTCTTCATTGTGTTTTCTTTGTTGGTAGAATTATGGACAATATTTTGAAAAGGTAGGACAAGGAGTTATTGGACCAGTTAAGTTAGCTGAACCAAATGGTGAAGGGATGGATTTATCAAAGAACACATGGACATATATGGTCGGATTACATGGAATTTCTAAAGGACTTTTTAAGCTTGATGACCACAATAAGTTAACATGGCACGAATCTAACTTCCAAACAGACAGAATGTTTATTTGGTACAAGGTAACTCAATCCATACCGTTAATTACATTACTCGATCTCCCCATTATTCTTAACACAAGCTTTGTATAGATGTAACTTTTATGCTCATTTTGGATCTTGCAGACATTCTTTAAGACCCCAGCAGGTGAAGACTCTGTGGTGTTGGATTTGACAGGAATGGGGAAGGGAATTGCATGGGTGAATGGACATAACATTGGTAGATACTGGCCATCCTTCCTTGCCAAATCCGATGGGTGCCTTCAATGTGACTATCGTGGAAACTATGGTGGATCAAAATGTGTAACCGGTTGTGGAAAGCCTTCACAAAGATGGTACCATGTTCCACGTTCCTTCCTACGTAAGACAGGAAACAACCAATTGGTTTTGTTCGAAGAGATGGGCGGTCGTCCTCAAGAAGTTAGGGTGCAAACCGTGACAGTTGGAACCATATCTGCCAATGTACATGAAGGAAACACATTGGAATTGTCTTGCCAAGGAGGAGGCAAAAAAATCTCAAAGATCAACTTTGCTAGCTTTGGTGAACCAAAAGGCAGTTGTGGATCCTTTGAAACAAGCCATTGTGATGCCACCAACACCATAGCAGTGATTCAATCGGCTTGTGTGGGGAAGGAGAAGTGCACTCTCCATGTCTCCGATGCCCTTTTCCCAACCACAACCTGCAAATCCAAAATCAGAAGGCTAGCAGTTGAAGCTACTTGTTAGTGTGTTGGCTTAGATTAGATTTTGTTACCTCGTTTTATGTTTAGATTTTAGATTAGATTAGACTAGATTCTGTCTTTAATTCAATAATAATATATGAAAATTATTATTAGTTAATTAACATTCTCTACTTCAACTCAGCTATTCTTGTGCTACTTCCAAATGAGGTCATATAGCATCCCAAGAGCTTTAAATATTCCAAACAAGGCCATACAACATCCCCTTTCACTCTGAAGTTAATCCAGAATTGTGCTCACAAAATTTCTCGCCTACTCCATTGTATAGCCAAAACTCTTTAATATAGTGCACTCTATGAGCTTAAAGTTCATCCCTTTTTGTCTATGTCCTTTTTTGGGTAGAAAAAGTCATAATTTAGAACAAACTTTTGATGAAAATATATGTTGTCCTGTATTAATATATGTTGTTGTCCTAGTCAAGATGCAGAGGTTGTCTGAAGTACTAAAAACTGTGCACACGATACTGTGTTGGAATTATGATTATAGTGAACAAATAGCAAAGCTTAATTCTTTTTTTCTTTTACAAAATCATATGTACCTGATCTGTCTCACCAGCGATCGTTGCAAGAGCATTTACCGTTCAAGAAACAGTGAAAACCTGAAGTATCTCTAACATGTATCTCTCTCTTTGTGACAATGGAAGCAGACTTGAAGAATGTATGACAGTCACCACATAGAAGAATGTTCTTCATAACGCGAACGGGTTTCCCATGTTTGGTCATTAGAAGGCCGTATGTGAGTGCCAATTTTGCGCTGTGATGGAACAAGAAATCCTTCTTCTGATACTCTTCAACTTCATGAAGAACATAGCTTGTATCGGGCACATATCCCGCTTTCATGCATTCCAGGATTAGTATGTCCAGTGCGCTGTAGATGTCTTTAGACTGCAAATGCGATGTGTCTCTGGCAAAAAACGAGTGGAATTTATGCTGACAGATGACCCAACTTTGGCCCGGGATTTTCTGGAACCCCTTCTCCTTCATCTCTGCCCTCACAAGCTCCGAGCACTGCCATCTTCCGGATGCTGAATAAAGATTTGATTTTAGTATGAATGTTGATGGATCCTGTGGCTCCATGGATAGTATTTTCTTGATGACCCTCTTCCCGATGGAGGAATTCAAATGCATTATGCAACTATCAAGCAAAGCCCGCCAAACAGAAGACTTTGGCTCGAAAGGCATTGTATTGATTGTTTCCTCTGCTTCCTCGAGCAGACCCCAGTAACCTAATACGCTTACCAAGCAGGCATAGTGATCTGAGGCGGGCAAAACACCATATGCAGACTGCATTGAGAAAAAGAAGCTTTGGCAGCGATTAACTACATTTTTTGTAGTGTGTCTATATGCTGAAAGTATATGGAGACAGGTAAAGGAGTCTGGCACTATTCCTAGTCTTTCCATCCTTGACCATGTATCCAAAGCTTCATCTCCCCGCCTATGAAGGACATAACCAGCTAACAAACTATTCCATGAACATAAATCACGGGATGACATAAGCTCGAAGGCCTTAACTGCATTGTCCAATTCACCACACTTGGCATACATGCTAATTACAGCATTCCCAACGACCACGTCAGACAGAAAACCATGTTTCAAGGCAAGGCAATGGAGATTTTCCCCTAACTTAAGTAACCCTAAAGTCCCACAAACGCCAAGAACAGTAGCTGTTGCAACTTCATCCACGACTACTAGTCCTTCTAACTGCGTTTCAAAAAATAGAGAAATTGCGTTTTCTGGCTGCCCGTTCTGAGCATATCCACGTAGCATAGATGTCAATGCAACCAATCTACCGTGGCCCAGTGGCATTCTGTGGAATATCTTTTCAGCATCCTCCATTCTCCCACACCGAGTGCACATGTCAAGCAATGCAGCCTCGATACAATCATTTGGCTCACAGCCAGACTTGAGAATAAACCCGTGAATCTGTTTACTCGACTTTCTTTCCATCAACAACCCACATGCATTCGCAATACTAGTCAAGGTAAAATCAGAAAACTCTATGCTTTCCTTGATCATTCTATAAAAAAAGGCCATTGCTTTCAAGCCTTCACCATTTTGACAAAATCCGGCTAAAACAGCATTATATAAAACTGCATTCTTCTCGGGCAAGTGATCGAAAAGTTCCTTAGCCAAATCAACAAGACCAGATTCCATATACGCTGTGATCATTTCATTCCAGGTAAAGGCATCCCGCACCAGCATCCTCTCAAACAAAGCCATCACGCTCTTTATGCTTCCACACCTCGTATAGAATTTAATAAGCGCATTGTTCACACTCAAATTGCTTTCGTACCCGATTCTAAGAGCATGGGCATGAAGTTCTTGACCTCTCCTCATAAAACACTCAGAGCATGCATTCAAAAGAGTGGAGAGTGTAATATAGTCAATTCTTAAACAATCATTTCTCTGCATATCATTAAACAATTCAAAAGCTCTAGTAAACATGGACTCCTTAACCATACCAGAAATCATAGTATTCCACGAAGCAATGTCACGTTTAGGCAAATTGTCAAACAATTCAATAACAAAATCTAAACTGCCACATTTACTATACAGTCCCATAAGGGCATTGACAACATAAGTGGAATCCAAATACCCCAATTTGATCATCAAAGCGTGAACTTGAAACCCCAATTCTAAATTCTGTGAACGAATGCAAGCAGTCAACAAAGCGACAAAGCTATACTCATTGGGTTCAATACCTGAGTCTCTCATCTCAAAGAAGAGCTCCACGGCTTCAATTTCACGGTTGATTTTCGCAAAACCCGATATGATGGCCGTGTATGATTTTATATCCGGGGAGGAAAGAGAATCAAACACGGCGAGAGCATAATCTACAAGACCCAGTTTCAGATATGCGGAAATAAGAGCATTGGACAACCGGGTGTCCTCTTCAAGCTTGAGAACCATGGCGTGGACGACTCTAGTAAGCCCAACGTCGCCAGAGCGGACGGAGAGCTTAAGAAAATCGGCATAATCGACGGCGCGCTGCTCAGGGTGTGTTGAGATAGAAGAGTTAATGAGTGGGTCGGAGCTGAGGAGGGGCTCTTGGATTGAGAGTGAGGCGTTTGAAAGGAAAAATGCGGGCTTGAATTTGTGGTTGGGTTTTATTACAGAAAGAGATGAGATTGGGTTGCTGGCAGAGAGAAATGCGGAGGCGGAAGCGGCGGAGAGTGTCGCGGCGGGACGGAGAATAACGGCGGCCATGGAATTGTGACCGCTTATTGGTTTGGGAGAAGAAGCATGTTGCTCGTTCAACTATGGTTCTTACAGGGTTTATCTTCTGATTCTGAAAAACAGAAAAAACAGAAAATGACAATTCAAATAGGGTTTATTAATAATTTCAGTAAATTATTTATTTGGTCCTTCAATTTTAGGCTTAATATCAATTACGTCATTATTTTTTTTAGTGTTAATTATATTTTGTCTCTTTTTTTATTTGTGTGTAATTACAATTTTTTTCTAATAAACGACCAACACCCACGCATCAAAACTTGTAGAATAAATTCATGGTTTTAGCAGATATCTGGATTTAGTCTGTTTCTAGAATTTGTGTACGTTTTATATTCGTGACGAGTAGGACCTCAAAAGATGACAAAACATTTTCTCATGAATTTTAAAATAACACGTTCCTTGGGCCAAAATAAGTTTGTCAAATTAAAATATATTTAAACAAATGATTTGAGTTGCACTTGCTCCACGTACTACTCCTTGATCTCTAGTTCTCTACTGCGTGTTGATTTGATCACTCAACATTTGATTCAAACTTTTTGTCTAATTATATAAGGTCCAGATTGTGAGCATATTGAACTCTTACAAAGAAGAGTTAGTTATTAATATTTGAGGCGTTTGATTTATCCAAATATTATAACCTCAACAACTGGGTATTATCAAAGATCATTGTTAACTACTGCTGACGCATAATAATTAATGTATGAAAGACATTCTTGACTAGCTAACATTAATGATAACGCATCATGTTCAGTTCAGACATGAGACAAACCATACAACATGCTGCATTACCAAAATACATAAGGGAAGTAATGTGAAATGCAGACTACCAGAAAACATCAAGAAATACAGTCATAACGTTGCACAATTGGTTTTACATAACCTTATTAATAGTAGTGCTGAAAACGGGTTTATTGGGAGTTGGGAAATCTATAGCATTGTAAAATGCCATAAAACTTTTGCACCAAGCATGAGTGATACTCTCTCTGATATGATGGACCTGTTTAATTAATTCATCAAGAGTTGGAAAGCCTCGCTGGTTTCTATAGCATACTCGTAGCCCAGATCGTTGGCTCGTTGCTTAAACTCATCTATCTCGTTGCTGGGAACTTGAAGACCCACCAGCACATTCGCACCAGCTTCTCCCTTTTGAATTGCAATAGCACAGATAGAAATTAAACATTATAAATTAGTTCAATAATATAATATCCAGAAGAAAATTCTGTCTTAGCTTGCACATGTAGAGAAAATAAAATAATAGTAACCTACATGTGCACGGTAATTGAACAAAGTTATATTCCATTGTGGGCTGAAAGCGTCTAAAAATTCCAATAGGGCACCAGGCCTCTCTGGGAAAATAAACCGGCAAAGAAGTTCATCTTCTACACTACATCGCCCACCAATCTGGAAGAGATTCATAGTGAAATTAAAGGTTAAAAACAATGAGACAATTTGCTGAAATCAATCCAAATAATGAGACAGTAAGTATTATACCAAATGGCGTAGATGATCTTTGACAAGGTCATTATCAGTGAGATCAATGGTATGTAAATCAGAGAGTATCATCCTCTCCACCATTGCATCAAGTTCCATTTTTGTATGAACACTAACTCTGCAATATTCCAAAACATAATATATAGTTTTATAATAAAGTTGAAGATAACCTACATGCAGAAAATTATACATAAATATGTTTAAAAGATCATAGAACTCTTGCCTGTATAGTACCAAACTTTGTGCTCGACCAGAACTGTATCTGTATCTGAACTCAGTAATGTTCATGGGCCCCACCTGCAATTCAGTTTAATATATATCAGATCAGACATAAAATGACTGGAAAATATGAAGATAAGGTTGTGAGCATATAACATTAATGTGCAATCCAACTATCAGCTTAGACTTTTAGTTGAGATGGAGCACATGTTTCAATTTGGTATCAGACTACGGTCCACGTGTTGCTTGGAGCCTCGCACACGTGAAGGGGCGTGTAAGCTGTGCAGTCCAACTATCAGCTTAAACTTTTAGTTGAGATGGAGCACATGCTTCAATTGACCATAATTGTAAAAAGAAGTGTGTATTACTCACAAGTTCAACAAATTTCTTGAAACTGCCAGGCTCTTCAGGCAAATTGGTTGAAAGAATAGCTTCACGTTGTCCACCAACATCTGCTAGCTCAGCTATACATCTTAGTCTATCAAAGTTCATGTTAGCTCCACTGGTTACTACTATTATATTTTCGCCCTTGAGGTTGTAATACTTGCAGTATGCTTCAGCTCCTGCAATGGAAAGAGCACCCGACGGCTCTAAAATGTTCCTTCTCTCTTCAAACATATCCTATATATTTAAAAACAAACCATTCAAAAACACATTTTTATTATACACTTAAGGATTTAAGGGATGACTAACTAACCTTTATTGAGGCAGCCATTTCATCACGGCCAACAAAAACTACTCCATCTATCAATTCTTTGGATAAGCGGAACGTTTCTTTACCTACAGCTTTGACTGCTACACCATCTGCAAAAGATCCTACTTGGTCCAGCATTACTCTATGACCATGATGTAGTGCTAATGCCATAGAATTTGCATCATGTGGCTCGACTCCGATTATCTTTATATCCGGATTAACCATTTTCACAAAGGCAGCAAGACCTGCAATAAGCCCACCACCACCAATAGGAACAAATATTGCATGTATTGGCCCCCTTGCTTGGTTTAAGATCTCCTTCCCAACTGTACCCTGCCCAGCAATGATATCTCGGTGATCAAAAGGAGGGATGATTTTGCGCCCTTCCTCGTCAGCCCTCTTTTGTGCATATGCTTGTGCGTCATCGAACGAGTCCCCCTCAAGAACAACAGTAGCCCCTAAGGCCTCAACTGATCTCCACTGCTCAGATACAAATAAAAATTCATGGTATATATAGGGTTTTAGAGAATAATGAACCATATAATTAAGCATACAAATTAAAGCCGGTCTAACCTTGATCTCAGGTGTAGTAACAGGCATTACAATCACAGCATCACACCCAAGTTTCTGTGCAGATAAAGCAACCCCTTGGGCATGATTACCAGCAGATGCACAGATAACTCCTTTATCCAATTCCTCCTTTGTGAGCTTAGCCATCATATTATAAGCTCCTCGAATTTTGAATGAGAAGATCTGCCAATGAATTCAGGAAAACATCAATGATATTATTATGTTCCATTGAAGGAAAACTGCAACATTCACTGCTGAAAATTATGGAATTTCCGATCACCTGAAAGTAACCAGCAAATTAAAAAGTGGTCGGAAATAACAACAAAGGTTTTTCCAGATACCAAAAATGATAGGAACAAAGCTTTTGACTTGATTTAAGATCACTTTCAGGTGGTCGGGAAATTTTATAATTTTCAGCTGTGATTTCAGCAAGGAAAACTGAAGGAAAATCATAGAATGAAAAGAAAAGTCAGCTAGGGGGCATACAGGTTGAAGATCCTCCCTTTTGAACCAGATATTGTTCCCCAGCCTCTCCGTGAGCTTCGAGGCGAGCTGCAATGGCGACCGAAGGGCTACATCGTATACCTTAGTGGACAATATCGCGGTCAAATAGTCTACAGCTTCGTAGGTAAATGAATCATTTCCTGGGATGTAACCGGGATTCTCAACAAGGCGTCCAGGCTCACTGGTCAAGGAGTCCCAAGACACTACCGGCAAGTCATCAGACCGCAACTGCTTCTTGGCGGCTGTGGGTGTGGTGGACAAAACCGGCGCCTCCGGCCTCGAGACCGCAGCGCGAATTAAGAAAGCTCCGCTACTCGCTCTCCTTACATCGCCGGCCTTGACGGTGTAATTGGGAGCAATGGCAGCGGCCGGCGGCAGGGGTTTGCAAAGGAGATAGGGAGATTGTGTAGTGGCGAAACGGAGAACGTCCATGGCGGAATGGGTTATGGGAGAGTGGGAGTGATCAAGGAAGCAGGTTGAAGAAACTTGTAAGCTGCATGGATATTTATAGGGCAGACATTCATTAATTTACGTAGTCTATCATTTCCCGCTAAATAATTAATTAAGATTTACGGAATACTAAATAAACTTTATTAAGAAAAAATACTCCTTAGTCCCGTAGTCCCGTAGTCCGTGTCAATTTGCTAGGCAAAATTGGGGATATTTTCCAATAGTAATTTTGCATTTAATCCTATTTTAAGATAAATTGTATTTTATTTTCTTGAATTATATACTTATATCACATTTTCTCTTTGAGTTATTCATATATTTGCATTTGTCTCCTTAATTATTTCAAAAGTGGTAATTTTCTTCGTTCTCTTTAATATTAAATTGACATTTTTACTATTAAAATAATTATTTCATTTATTTTTATTCTCTAATAAATAATTACTTATATGTGGGATGACCACTGTTTGATCTGAACCGAACATGACACTGTACCAATGGAACTGAAACAATAGGGACGGTTCTTGTTACGATTCAAAACTGAAAAAAAAAATAATTGTTGAATTTAAACTATTATAAAATAGAAAATAAAATTTTTTAAAAAATAATTAATTAATTAAAATTTGAACCCGCGATTCAAACCGAAATTAAAATTAGAATAAATGTGAACCGGAACCAAATAAATTTATCATTTACAAACAGTGTTTACAAATTTGTTCGGTTTCGGTTCACAAGTATTATGATTTCAGTTTCGGTTTGAACCGTCAATTTAAAATTTATTTATTTCTTTATTTTTGTAAATTTTATTTACTATTTTTAAAATAGTCTAAATTTAAAAATTATTTTATTTTATTTTCTAATACTGAATCGTAACAAGAACCATCTTTATTATTTCAGTTCTATTGCTATAGTGTAAGAGATTGAGAGTTGAGACTTGAGGGAGGATGAGAATAGAGAAGGGGAGGTCGCCACTGCTCAAAGAAAAATGAAATATACTATAGGGTTTGCTCAGCGAGTGTGTGTGTATATATAGAAATACATAAATGAAATTATTAAACTTTATAATGTTAATTATTTGGTAATAACATGTTATATTGATGTGCCAATTAGAAGTATATTATTGAGGAAGAAAATAATATTTTTATATATGAGCTATTCTTAGTACACATATTATTAGAGTTTATGGACGGGAAGTTATAGTAAGGTCGGATTATATATTAAAAGTGTTTTAGTTCAAAAGTTGTTTTTTCTAATGAGCAAACTATGAGTAGCTTTTATAGTGTTAATCATGGAAGACATGCCAAAATTTTGCCAAACAAAGAGTACGTGAAGTTTATCTTTAGGTCAGTCATATTGGTTGCCTCGCGTGCATGTCTGTGTTGAGATAACTCAATTATATTTGATTGAATGGTTGAAAGGACACTGATATTTCGTGTGCCATCCACTCATTTGGGCAAAGTGCACTTCCTGATTTTTGAGGTCGGGAAAAGCTCTACCCCGACCAAATAAAGCATGTATATTCCAATCAAAACTAATAAAAAAATTTAAAATTTGTTATAACACTTTATAGCAAGTTTGGATCAAGTAAAATTTTAAAATGCATAAAATATAAAAAATATAAAGTTGGATAGGGACAGAATACAAACAACTAGTAAATAGTCAATAATAATGTTTGAAGTGTTTAGGCAACCTTAACTTGGATTCTTGGAGGCATGATCGTACATTTGAGTTGTTTGCTTTTTGTTTGATATGATTGTCATTTGCCCAACGTTTCGAAGGCAAAAAATAAAAATAAAAAAAATGAGTTATTTAACGTTTGGGTTGTTTGTTTTTTTTGTTTGATTGTCTTAGTATTCGAAAAAGTTATTTTCAAAGGCAATAAAAACGTGTTATTTATTTCTATAAATCAATTATGATGAGGAAATGGGGTCCCAACTGAAGTTTGAGACATGGGTGAGAGTTTATTACCGAAATGGTTCATCGACTATATATTGTGAAACTATTAATTTGGTCTTTAATAATTTTTCTTATCCAATTAAGTTCTCGACTTTGAAAATGTTAATCAATTCAGTCCTTCGTTAGATTAGGGGTTAGAAGTCTGTTAAATGGAAGGTATTAATGGAATTTTGCAGGAGAAGACTCATTTCCAATTAATTCAATAAAGAAAAAAAATTATGCTTTTCCTCCAAACAAAATCTCGTGGAAACTACATGCTCCGAGTAACAGCCAAGCAAATATGGAAAAGAAGTAAAACTAATATCGATATGAATTACAATTCCGAAACAATGGGAAAATACAGGGCGGAGAGAAGCTTCAAAAATTAAAGGAAACTGAACAAGAGGGTATGTCCAGAAATAGAAAAATGTTCTCTGGCGACTGGAAAAACGAAGAGCCTGGATCTTGATGACCAGTTAACCACAACCTCAAGCTACAAATGAAGAGCACAGGAGAAGAAAGTGAAAAACACCGGAAAAAGAAAAATGAATAAACGGCGGAGATTAGACCCAGAGAAAGGGAGCAGAGTAGAGCGATGTTAAAGGAGAAACAAATATTGCGAGAATTGAGAGAGCAGAGTGTTGTTATTGGTTAATTTGGTTTAATCCTCCCGATTGTGCTGGGGCGTGGAGACGTCGGATCAGTCGAGATTCTTTTTTCGCAACTTTATGTTTTTGGAATGTGTACTAAGATGCTGATGACTTATCAATTCATATTGTTTTGGAGAGAGGGAAGATCCTCATTTGTAATCAACTCAAGGTGTATGAACTTATTAGGATTATCAGTGATGTTTTCCTACTGCATTCTATGCATATGAACAAATGAAGATTCCCTTGTTTAATCGATCACCTCATGAGGTATGAACTCAGATGCTACGCACTCTGGAGTTATTAGGATTATCAGTGATTAACGCCTACTGCATTTGATGCATATGAACAAATATGATTTAGGACGATCACATTTCTCATCAACAGGCAGATGTATAATTGCTCTCAGGACTGAGATGTTTAATTAAATTAACTCAACATAGGATAGGAAATGGTTCTTCTCATGCCAAATTCCATTAATATCCTCTCATTTAACAGATTTTTAATCCCTGATCTAACGGAGGGCCAAAATGATTAACATTTTAAAAGTCGAGGACTTAATTAGGTAAGAAAAATTGTCGATAATCAAATTGATAATTTCATAATAATCGAGAGACCATTTCGGTAATAAACGGGTGAAGACGGAGGGCAATAAAGACATATATAGACATGTGGATAAGGGATAAGAAAGACTAAATTGTGTGGCCACGATTTTGATAAATAATAGATGCATAAAACAATCCCTGCACGCAATTCGAACATAAAATTATAAAACGTGTTTCTTTGGGGGTGGGGGACCACTCACAGTCATACACATGTCTAGATCAACGAATCAGCTGTAACTTTTAAAAAATGATGTGGTGATATTTTCGTAAATAACTCAAATTTTGGTGCAAGTAAATGTGTTATAAGTGCAAGTAGTTGGTGCCCCTTTGCAAATAAAAAGTGTAAGTAAAATCGCTTACAAGTGCAAGTAATTTACCTTATTAACATTCGTGCACCTAAATGCAACTAATTATAACGATTGGTGCAACTAATTATAACGATAGGTGCAACTAGTTATAATGGTAGGTGCACTTAGTATTGATGCTCAGTGTAAATTTTACTTGCACTTGTAATACATTTTACTTGCACTTATAATATATTTTACTTGTACTTAGGTGCACTATATGAAAGTGCTACTTGCACTTGTAATACATTTTACTTGCACTTCGATTATCAATTACGAAAATGCCACCATGTTTTTTTAAAAAATCAGTGTTTCTCATCCGTTAGATCTGAACATGTAAATAAATATCATGCGATTTGAATTCTCTCATGGGCGAACCGTTCTCAAATTGGCCCCCTTGGATTCTTGGAGGCATGATCGTACATTTGGGTTGTTTGTTTTTGGAAAAAGTATCAAATTGGCCCCCTAAGTCATACGGATAGTGCAATTGGGTCCCCTAAAAATAAAAAAATAAATAAATAAATAAATAAAAAGAAGCTCCATTGAAATCCTCTAAACCGGTAAAATTGTTCAATTATGTCCACATTGACTTGATTATCATATTAAACCTATGTGGTGTTGACATGTGTCCTTTTTAAATTTATTTTTTAAATAAATTTTTATTTATTAAAATAAATCATATTATTTATTAAAAAAAATATAATATAATATTAAAAAAAAAACAAAACAAAACAAAACAAAAAAGCCATTGGCTGATCGCGCCGAACAGGCGGTGGCTGTCCTGCGAGGACAGCCACGGCTGTCAAGGAAGACAGCCCTGGCCGTCTTCCTTAGACGGCTGTCCGGAACGAAGGAAGACATCTGGATTTGATCGTGGAATGTAGAAGGATGTAATGCCACAAACTTTGCAGAAAGTATGTTTTGCGGTATAAGTACCAAATGTATAGGTTTTATGGAACTTCTCAGAATCTCCAAGAAGCTCAAACTTTTCAGAAGGAACAATGAAGTGAGTGTTCCCTCTCATGGAGCAATCAGAAGAGTTACATGAGGCAACAACACTCGATGGTGCTCGCACTCGCCATCTCACTCTTTTGCAATGGCACCCACCATTGTGTATTACCAATTCATAATCATCTTTCAAGATTGTAGTCTCCAAATTAGCACACGGGCAATCAATAGATAGATCCCTTCACAGCTTCAACTGCCGGACAGTTGTGGCTGTAAAGAAAGAAGACAGCCGGTGGCTGTTTTTTTTTTTTTTTAATATAATTTTTTTTATAAATAATATGTTTTAGTTTTAATAAATAAAAAACTTTATTTAAGGTTTCCAAAAAATTTTATTTAAAAAATAAATAAAAAGGACACGTGTCAACCCGCATAGGTTTAACCAGATAAACAAGTCAATGTGGACTTAATTGAACAATTTTATCGATTTAAAGGACTGCAATAGAGTTTTTTTTTTTTTACTTAAGAGACCTAATTGCACTATACATATGACTTAATGGGCCAATTTAACACCTTTTGTTTTATTTTTGGTTTGATTGTCCTAGTATTTGCCCAATGTTTCGAAGGCAATAAAAATGAGTTATTTAACGTTTGGGTTGTTTGTTTTTTGTTTGATTGTCTAGTATTCGAAAAAGAGTTAATTTCACAGGAGGTTCTTTGTCTTTGATAGTAATTTTAAATTTAGTTTCAGATTATCATTTTTACCATTTAACATCGCAGACTATTATTTTTTGGACACTGTTAGTCCTTCTAATAACTTTTTCTATTTTAATAAGGGTATTTTTGTCCCTTGATATTTTTCTTTTGTAATTTTTCTAGTTTAAACCGGTTTAATTGATTTAGATATTTACTAAAGACCGGTTGAAAAATATGATTACTAAAAATCAGTGGTTACCTAAAGTTCTAAACCAATTAAACCGGTTGAAACCCGAAAAAAAAAATATATAAAATGACAAAAATGCACTTACTAAAAATAGAAAAAGCCATAAAAATGACTAAAAGTGTCTAAAAATAATAATTTGGGGTGATAAATGGTAAAAAAAAAAAAAAAAAATAGTCAGAGACTAAATTTGAAATAATCACCAAAGACAAAGAACCTATATGGAATTAACTCATTCGAAAGAGGTTATTTTCAAAGGCAATAAAAATGAGATTCATTTATATCAATTATGATTAGGACACATGAGGTCCCAAGTCCCAACATAAGTTGGAGACATGGGTAAAGACACAAGGCAATAAAGGCATATATGGACATGTGAATGATGGATAAGAAAGACTAATCATAATGTACACTTGTCTTTAAAATTATCTACGCTATAAATAAACACTCTTATTCCATTTTTATGATTTGCCCCTTTCCTCACTGAATTCTCCTTGGTACAATGGCTTTGTGGTCCAAACCTTTAGATTTCAACTTCTAAATTGTGTGGCCACGATTTTGATAAATAATAGATGCATAGTTTCTCTTTGGTGTTTGCAAATATCTCTGCGAGACCACATGTGCAGGCAATTCGAACATAAAATTATAAAACGTGTTTCTTTGGGGGTGGGGGGTTATTGGTTAACCTATTTGATTGGACTAAATAGGGGATTTTTAGAATAAAGTGTGTATATATATATATATATATATATATATATATATATACACACACCACACAGTGTTCGAAAATGCACCAACATGTGCAGGCAATTCGAACATAAAATTATAAAACGTGTTTCTTTGGGGGTGGGGGGTTATTGGTTAACCTATTTGATTGGACTAAATAGGGGATTTTTAGAATAAAGTGTGTATATATATATATATATATATATATATATATATATATATATATATATATATATATATATATATATATATATATATATATATACACACACCACACAGTGTTCGAAAATGCACCAAAATGAAATGTCACAAAACGTACCAAACACCAAAAAAATGCACCACACATAATGGTGTATTTTTCAACACTGTGTGGTACATTTATGCATACCTAATGGTGTAAATCGCACCGTATGTTCTCACAGGAACCTAACCCTATATATAATTTTATATATATATATATATATATATATATATATATAGCTTCACGTGCGATTGTGCGGTTAGATTTGAGTCGTTGATCAAATCTAGATCAACGGCGCAAATCAATGAAAATTTAAATTTAAAAAAAAAAAAAAAAAAAAAAAAAAAAAAACTGGAAGAAAGCCATGCACCTTTAAGTGTTAGATCTTAAGCACAAACTCACACACATTAAGTACAAAACTCACGCACATTAACCACAATCTCACGCACATTAAGCACAAAACCCACGCATTTAAGTATTAACTCACAGACCTTAAGTTTCAACAACTACTGACATTAAGCACAAACTCACGCAATTAAGTACAAAATTCACGCACATTAAGCACAATCTCACGCACTTTAAGTATTAACTCACAGACTTTAAGTTTCAACAATTACTGACATTAATCACTAACCTCACACACATTAAGCACAAACTTCACTCACATTAAGAACAAATCTCACGCCCCTTAAACGCAAAAGCCCACACTTTAAGTTTTACCAACTACTCACATTAAGCACAACCACACGCACATTAAGCACAAAATTCACGCACCTTATGCACAAGACTCACGCATCTTATATACAAAACTCACGCACATTAATCACAGAACCGCTCACATTAATTTTGACCTAGATTCAAAAATTACAAAATTGCCACCGCGTTTTTTTTTTAAAAATTTTGGTAATCCTGGACGTTGATTTAAGCGAGATGAATGGCCCAAATTAAACCGCACCTGAGCACTCTAACCGCACCAGAACCTAATTCTATATATATAATGCTCCCTAGCTTGAGTCATATTTCTTTATTTCGTGTTTGCATCTTGCTCATATGTGTTTTTGTTATTTTGTTTAGTTACCGTAGCCTTAACCTTGTTATGATTTTCTTAACTTCTCGCTTATTTCTTTATGCTAGTGCCTAGTTGCTTGTGATTGCATATTACGTGTCATAAATCCAGAGGACGACATTTCACATCTGTACATTCACCATCACTCATTTTTGCTACAAATCATGATGCCACCAACACCAAAGACTTTATCCATATATTTTAATTCAATAATATATGAAAATTATTATTAGTTAATTCAACATTTTCTCTACTTCAATTCAGCTATTCTTGTGCTACTTCCCAATGATGTCATATAGCATCCCAAGCTTTAAATGTTCCAAACAAGGCCATACAACGTCCCCTTTCACTCTGAAGTTAATCCAGAATTGTGCTCACAAAATTTCTTGCCTACTCCATTGTATAGCCAAAATTCTTTAATATAGTGCACTCTATGAGCTTAAAGTTCATTCTTTTTTGTCTATAACTCATTTTCTAGAAAACATTTTTCAATTTTCCTGTTTTCCAAACAATCCCTAAATATCAATTACGCCATTATTTTTTTAGTGTTAATTATATTGTCTTTTTTTTTCGTGTAATTACGATTTTTTCTAACGGACAAATAACACCCACACAATTCATGGTTTTAGCAGACACCTGGATTCAAGCCGCTTCTAGAACTTGTGTACATTTCATATTCGTGACAAGTAGGACCTCAAAAGACGACAAAACACTCTCTATTGAATTTTAAAATAGCACATTCCTCAAGCCTGCTGTCAAAAATATATTTAAACAAATCATTTGAGTTGCACTTGCTCCATTACTCCTTGATCTCTAGTTCTCTACTGCGTGTTCATTTGATCGCTCAAATATTTGGTTCAAACTGTGTTTTCTAATTATACAAGCTCCAAATTGTTAGCATATTGAACTCAACAACTACATATTACTATGAAAGACATTCTTGACTAGCTAACATAATGATAACGCATCATGTTCAATTCAGACATGAGACAAACCATACAAATGTAAGGAATAATCAACAAGGCAACAGTGATGAGTTAATCTGCATGTAGATGCAGTGTGGGCATGCATTAATTAAGTCGATCACGATGATCAGATGAGATCAAATCCTTGAACCAGCAGACTCTGAGCCAACTTATCATTAGCAGCTTGAGATGGATGGAATCCATCCCAGAACACATATTCTGTGGCATTCGAACATGTCCCTATTGAGCTTTCGTTGCAGAGGTATGATGTTTCCAGTGTCCCTGTCCCGCAGCAGGCCCTCCTCGATTCAAAGAACCCTGCAACATTCATTGTGTGTGTGTATATATATATTGCAGTCTTAATCTTTTTCAACTTTCAATCAAGAATAGTGCATGTTACCATTTTCAGAGGGCTTTGTGATGAGGTCTAGCAGAGGCTGGTAGATGTCAAACACTACTAGTTTGAGGCCTGGGAGCTTGCTCTTTAGGCTTTGTGATGTGCTGCTAAGCTTCTTGTTGTAGGAAATGGCATCTTGGTTCATCCTTTCAACACACTGGTTGTTTCCTCCACCATACATCGTGATCGAAGCAGGCAAGCAGCCAGTTGGTGGTAGATTGGTCACTCCTATCCTCCTCGCCCCCAACTCATACAGATTCTGCCACGTGTCACAATTAATTAAGTTGACAGTGAGACTATAATATTATTCCACGTAGATTATGAGATATGTGACCTGAATGAAGGTAGTGTATGACTGCATGAGGAGATCAGAGAACTGATCGGGAGTGTAAGCTCTGCAAACCATGGGATTAACATAGTAATTCTGGATGAAATCACTTGTCCCTGCACTCACAAGGTGGATTCCACCTGAAATTATGTTGTTGGCCTTAGCTTTCCCTGCCAAACTCGCAACTTTGCTTTGCCACTCCTTGTAATATCCTAGCTGTTGTTGCAGTGTAATGGCACGCTGCATACATACCAAATAATGATATATACTATAAGTGTGTCATCTCGCTATCAAGTTAACTTTTGAGTTGAAACAGAATATATACAAGGGGGAGAGAGTGTGTGTATATACATATAGCTGAGCAGTGCTGTCATAGTAACCAGAAGCTGCAGAAGCAAAGTTGGCACCAGCAAGAATGCTTTTCCCATTGGCCTCTTGGCTTAGGTAAGCTGGAGGGTATGAGGTGAACCCAAGGTTCTCAGCTGTGGCCAGACAGAAAAGAAGAAGCATGTCAAATATGTATATAACGTGCCAATCAGCATCAATTCCAATCATAACTGGTACCCAGTACCAAGTATGTTTATATGCGACTACCCATAGATAAGGAAGTGTAATGTGTTAATACAGCAGATAGAATACCAGTGAAATCTGTGGCCAGTTTTCCATTGCAGAACCTTCCAGTGGGCTGGTGATTGACAAAGTCTCTTCCATAAGGTGGGAAGTTAGCCTTAATCACAGTGTTCAAGTTGTTGTTGTTTCCCGAATCCACCACAGAGTCTCCAAAGATGCAGAGTGATGGCACCATCGGCTCCCCTTTAGCCGCCTCATATGCAAACACAGCCGCAGCAACAAACACACCCCAAACACTTCTTGAAAACCCCATTTTTCTTTCTTTCTTTTTCTTGGAGAGGGAGAGGATTTAGCAGTGCTGTTAATGAAATAGAGGTGAGAGTAGATGGGAAGAATTTAAAGTAAAAGGTGACAGTAGCTATAGCATTTACAAGCAGCAGTAAAAATTTAATACGAGCCCATCTTCCCTCTGATGAACCTGGAACCATGGTACCTGAAGATGTTTAATGACTACTGCAAGCTACACCAATGGTCAAGCTTAAGTTCAAGCAAAGACTGTCAGAAACTTCAATGCTCTTAGTCACGTTCCTAGAACAGTCTTTTCCATTGTCGATCGACACCAATACCCTTTGTACCGAGTATACAACCATATATGTTTTCAAGATTACACCTGATACTACAATGGGGTTGGGGACCAACCTTTTCATACTCAGTTTCTAATGAAATTTGTGTATAAATACACTGACCAGATATTGCAGAGATAAGGGTTGAAGGTACCTGATACAGTCTGAAAAGCATACATGATACATAGTTGTACTCGATGCAAAAAGCACAGGTATCTGATCAGCATTGTAAACTTTCCATACTCGGTTTCAAATGAAATTTGTATATACATGCACCGTGCACAAATTTGTACACATACGATATGACATTATAGGGTGATGATAAAAGGGCACAATACATGCTGCATTACCAAAATACATCAGGGAAGTAATGTGAAATGCAGGCGGCAGGCCTGAAAACATCAAGAAATAACACCAAGGAGTACTACAGTCATAGCATGGCACAATAGGTTTTACATAACCTTAATAGTACTGCTGAAAACGGGTTTCTTGGGAAATCTATAGGACTGTAAAATGCTATAAAGCTTTTGCGCCAAGCATGAGTGATATTCTGATGGACCTGCTTAATGCATCAAGAGTTGGAAAGCCTCGTTACAGGTTTCCACAGCATACTCAAAACCCAGATTGTTGGCTCGTTGCTTAAACTCATCTATCTCGTTGCTGGCAACTTGAAGACCAACCAACACATTTGCACCAGCTTCTCCCTTTTGAATTGCAATAGCACAGATAGAAACATTAGTTAGTTCAATAATATCCAGAAGAAAATAATGTCTTGCAGATGGAGAGAAAATAATGTCTTGCAGATGGAGAGAAAATAAAAGTAAAAGGTGGTAAGAAATGGCAACCTGTGAACGGTAATGGAACAAAGTTATATTCCATCGTGGGCTGAAAGCGTCTAAAAATTTCATTAGGGCACCAGGCCTCTCTGGGAAAACAAACCGGCAAAGAAGTTCATCTTGTACACTAGATCGGCCACCAATCTGAAAGAGATTCAGCGTGAAAGGTTACAAAAAAGCACGTAATGCCCATAATGGGAAAGAAAACTAGGTGCTGTGATGAATTAATTGGGATACACAATAGAAAGCATAAATTTTGGAACCTGTCAAAAAGTAAAAGGGTAACTATTCATTATTAAACACAGAAGCACCACAGTCCTGACTCAAAATAAAGTATAAGGTTAAAGCAGATTATCAAGAAATTCAATTTCACATATATGAACAAATATGCTAATACTAGTCGTTCATCACTATATTGACTAATACACATTAACACATATAGCCAAATGAGTAAAAACAATGAGACAATTTGCTGAAATCAATCCAAATCAGATAACGGAACCCTCCAAATAATGAGATCCAAAGAGACAGTACCAAATGGCGTAGATGATCTTTGACAAGGTCATTATCTGTCAGATCAATGGTATGTAATTGAGAGAGTGTCATCCTCTCCACCATTGCATCAAGTTCCATTTTTGTATGAACACCAACACTGCAATATTCCAAAACATAATAGTTCAAAATGAAACTTTGTTCTAGGCAATTCAAGACATGGAAAGACAATAAATGAAACAAAATGTTCTGCATGTCATTTTCAGACATCCTTTGTTTTATAATAAAGTTGAAGATAACCTATATGCAGAAAATTAAACACACACACACATAAATATCTTTAAAAGATCATAGAACTCTTGCCTGTATAGTACCAGAGTTTGTCCTTGACCAGAACTGTATCTGTATCTGAATTCAGTAATGTTCATGGGCCCCACCTGCAATTCAGTTTAATATATATCAGACATAAAATGACTGGAAAATATGAGGATAAGGTTGAAGGGGCTAGTAACACGGGAAAAATTAGAATAAACTATTATTTACTTGATAATACATTTTCTTTCCTTTTCTTCCCCTTATTTCTTATTCAATTATAATGTTATATAAGATAAAATATTGCATAATCGTAATAAGAACTGTGTATTACTCACAAGTTCAACAAATTTCTTGAAACTCCCTGGCTCTTCAGGCAAATTGGTTGAAAGAACAGCTTCACGTTTTCTACCAACATCTGCTAGTTCAGTTACCAATCTTAGTCTATCAAAGTTCATGTTAGCTCCACTGGTTATTACTACTATATTTTCATCCTTGAGGTTGTAATACTTGCAGTATGCTTCAGCTCCTGCAAGGGAAAGAGCACCTGCCGGCTCTAAAATGCTCCTTTTCTCTTCAAACATATCCTATATACAAGAGAGAAACTGAGTACTTAAAAGAAACCATTCAAAATCTCAAAAACACATTTTTATCAAATTAGTTGTTATACACTTAATGCACACAAAAAATTAGCTATGCACTTAAGAGAGAGAAATTTTATATTTGTAAGATTTTGAGATTGAAGCGTGGGTACATATACACAATTTCAATCTGTAGAAAGAGGATTAACTGGCTCAACCACAGTGTTTGACATGCAGTCTCTGCTTAAAATCTTCAAGATGTATGGAACTAATATAAAGGCATGATGAATTTGGAAGCCAAAATGGATGACTAACCTTTATTGAGGCACACATAGCATCACGGCCAACAAAAACTACTCCATCTATTAATTCTCTGCATATACCGAAGGTTTCTTCACCTACCACTTTGACTGCTACACCATCTGCAAAACCTCCTACTTGGTCCAGCATTACTCTTTCACCATGATGTAGTGATAATGCCATAGCATTTGCATCATGTGGCTCAACTCCAATTATCTTTACTTCTGGATTAACCATTTTCACAAAGGCAGCAATACCTGCAATGAGCCCACCACCACCAACAGGAACAAATATTGCATGTATTGGACATTTTGCTTGGCCTATGATCTCCTTTCCAACTGTACCCTGCCCAGCAATGACATCAGGGTGATCAAAAGGAGGGATGAATGCGCGCCCTTCCTCTCCAGCCCTCTTTTTTGCATATGCTTGTGCTTCATCGTACGAGTCCCCCACAAGAGCAACAGTAGCCCCTAATCTCTCAACTGATCTCCACTGCTCAGATATCAAAATTCATGATAGGGTTTTAGAGAATTGGGGTGGAAGGCAAAGTAACTGAAGGAACGTTTAAATAGAAAAATAGAATAACCATATAAGCATACAGAGTAAAGCCTAACCTTGATCTCAGGTGTAGTAACAGGCATTACAATCACAGCATCACACCCAAGTTTCTGTGCAGATAGAGCAACCCCTTGGGCATGATTACCAGCAGATGAACAGATAACTCCTCTATCCAATACCTCCCTTGGGAGTTTAGCCATCATATTATAAGCTCCTCGAAGTTTGAATGAGAAGACCTGCCAATGAATTCAGGAAAACATCAATGATATTATTATGTTCCATTGAAGGAAAACTGCAAGATTTCAGCAACAAAAGCTTCCATGCTTGGGTAACATCCAGATATTATTACAATGGATTGCAAGTTTACTGTTTTCTTTGCACTTTACTAGCAGTAAATGATCTTTGAGGTTTTAGTCTTTTCGGAGTAAACAATAGACCACGTTAATAATAATAATAATAATTCGTTTCACTTCTTCAGCTGTGATTTAGCAGGTAACCGGCATTATGCTGTTATAAATTTATAGAGTTTTCGAGAAAAATTAATATATTTTTAAAATAAAACTTTGAAACAAAAGATGTCGTAATTATAGTCAAGGGGAAAGGGAAAATCATAGAATGAAAAGAAAAATCAGGGGGCATACAGGTTGAAGATCCTCCCTTTTGAGCCAGATTTTGTTCCCCAGCCTCGCCGTGAGCTTCGAGGCGAGTTGCAACGGCGACTCAAAAGCTACATCGTATACCTTAGATGACAGTATCGCGGTCAAATACTCTACAGCTCTGTAGCTATAGGACTCATTTCCATCGTGGCAAGCGAGATTCGGAATAACGCATCCAGGCTCACTGGTCAAGGAGCCCGGAGACACTACCGGCAATTCAGGCCGCGTCGCAGGCCGCAACTGCTTCTCGGCGGCTGTGGACGTGGCGGACAAAACCTGCGCCTCCGGCCTCGAGAGCGCAGCGCGAATTGAAGCTCCGCTAGTCGCTCTCCTTACATCGGCGGCCTTGACGGTGTAATTGGGAGCAATGGCAGCGGCCGGCGGCACGGGCTTGCACCGGAGATTGGGAGATTGTGTACTGGCGAAACGGAGAACGTCCATGGCGGCCTGGGAGTGGTCAAGGAAGCAGGGCGAAGAAAGTTGTCAGCTTTATGAACATTTATAGGGCAGACATGATTAATTTACGCAGTTTCTCATTTCCCGCAAAATAATTAATTACGATTTACGGAGTACTAAATAAACTTTGTAACTCCTATGATATGTTGTGGGTTTGAGTCGATGTGGTGTTGACACTTTGTACTTCATAATTCGTATCAATTTGTTAGGTAAAATGGGGAAATATTTTCGAATAGTAATTTTATATATTTTTATTTGAAGAAAAATGACACTTTTTTTATTTAAATTATAAGTTTGGAGCACATTTTTTCTCTGAGTTATTCATGTATTTACATTTATCCCTTTAATTATTTTAAATGTGACGTTTTCCCTCTTTAATGTTAAATGGATATTTTTACCCTTAAAATATTTATTTCATTTATTTTTTTTTCTTTAACAAAATATTACTTATACTTAGAGATGACCATGGTTTGATTTGAACCGAACAGAGCACTATAGCAAATTAGCAATCAAATTGAAACGGTAGGAACAACTCTTGTTACGATTTCAAATTAGAAAAAAATAAAATAGTTGTTGAATTTAAACTATTTTAAAATATAAAATA